AAGCTCAAAGGATGCATTTTAGTTCTTAAGAAAAGTGCAGAACAAGTTCAAACCATTTACCCTCTGCAGCTGTAGTTTTGGTCTATTTTGGTGGGTAAAATGTATGGAGTTCATTTTATTCCATTATTTTTGCAAACTAAAAACATGTTTTGTAAATTGAAATTTGAAAAAGAAAAAAACCTTTCAAAAGTTTTTGAGAGTTTTTATTTTACTTTTCTGTTTATTCTGATTTAGTTTTTCGGATTTCTTTTTACATATTTTTCCTATTTTATTTATTTCAAATCATTTTTCTTGAAATAAAATTAAAAAAGAAAAAACATTTTTTTACAGGTTTTATATTTTCAAATAGAATATTCTGTTAAAAAATTTGACAGATTTTATACTTAAATTTTTTCTGTTTTGCCGATTGAGTTTTAGGAAAATGATTCTTTTCATTAAAAAAATGTTAACAAAAGGCTTTTTATAGACCATATTTTCTTCACCTCTGGGGACGGGAAATTCTGTGGAGTGAGGAGCAAAGACGCATTTTTTATTGATCAATGTGTTAAGGGTGAGCGTCTGCATTGGGTTTCAAGGGAAGAGAATCTGTTTAGAGCAATTTTAAAAGAAATGAAGCTTAAGCGTAAATTCAATCTGGAAGATTCTTATCAGCTTCACCTGAACGACCTGCGATGTCCTTTGTTCAGCTCCAGCCAATCAACTCGGGGGCCGCCCCTTCTCCGAAGCCAATCATCTTTTAATGTCCCCTTCGTTTAGCTCCTGGCCCAACTTCTCTCTCCCACACACAAGCAAACTTTCACCCACCTCACCTAATTTCCTCCCTCATTCTCAGACTATTCTCATTCCCACTCTCCCGCTGGCTTATACCACCACAACTGTCGGGCCCCGAGCGGAAAACTAATCCTTTTCTAGGTGACTCATCCAAGCGTACGTTAATTCACAGCACTGAAGCCTTTCGCCGAGGCCCCAGCCTCTTTATCACGCTCACACTGAGCCTGATTCTGCTGGAGGTTTCTTCCTGTTAAAAGGGAGTTTTCCTCTCCACTGTAGCTACATGCATTGCTCAGTGTGAGGGATTGCTTAGAGTTAATGAGTCCACACAATCAGCTGGTTTTCCTTAGTTGGAAATATTTAGAAGAATATGATTGTGTTACCGTAAATCCTCTAATATTGGACTGTATTCCATTAGCGGCCGGATCTCTAATAATGGCCGGTCTCGGAGGAAATTGCAGAGGATTAAACAGAATTGGACATTTTTTTTGTTTTGTTTTACTTTACACTAAACGAGACAATTTGAGTGAGTTTACAATGCACTACATTTCCTTTGTGGTGAGCAGCGTTAAAATGATAGAATTTAGTGGCCTCCATTGTTCTGAACAATGGAGGCCACTAAAACTGGCCTGAAAAAAAAATTTTTTCAAATTTTTTCTAAGAATTTTGACTTAAATCTTAGAATTCTGACTTTTTTCTAAGAATTCTGACTTTAATCTCAGAAATCTGACTTTAATCTCAGAATTCTAACTTTTTTTCTCAAAATTCCAATGTTCTGAACAACTGTTCCCCTTGAGATATATGATACCTGTAGCCTACTTCCACTTAGCCTAAAACAAATAAAATGTCGCTCTGATGGCAGAACAGTTTTTGTCCCATTTATTTTAAACTTTGTTTCGCAAGTCGGTTTGGCAAAGATTCCATTCTGTGTAGGTTTTTTTTTTTTTTTTTCGTATTGCCTTACAGAAAAATTGCGTGAAAGCTGCTGGAAGATGTCTGAATTACCTGTTTTTGTTGATAATGTTCTGTATACAATTATGGTAACTGTACTTTTCAATAAATGAACCTAGTATTTTATAGGTTCAAATAGACACAAAATCTTGTTTTTATTCATTCCACTGGTAGTCTGTTTCGCTCAAATAGAAATAGAGGCCTGCCTCTAATTCTGGCCTCCTTCCAATAATGGCCTGAACCGAGATGCACCTAAGTGAAATAAAGGCCCAGTCCTATATTAGAAGATTTACGGTACCTGTATAAATAAGGTGAATATTTTCTAATTGCAACTTTTCTCTTTGTGAGTCTCTCCAGGTAGAATATAATTCACTAAAAACAATCTAAAAAATGGAAATATGAAAAAACTGTTGTAAAAATAAAATCATTTAAAAAAAAAGATTTTTGAAAAATCTAATTTGAAAGATCAATTATTCTCATGACAAATAAGGGTTGCTGTTCATTATGATTATGTTTTTAAACAGAAGAAGAAGCTATTTTCCACACTCACTGTCCATCTAAAGTCAAACCCAAAGGGTTGAATCCAGTTTGCCATGGCTATTTGCGGTACCTATCTGGCTCTCAAGATCCACAAAAGCAAATTGTGTCATACTATGATATAAAGTCCAATAATAGAGTTGAATCTGTCCCTTTTAAAACTTGATAAAGCTAAAGTGTAAAAAAATTATTTGAACCCCCCTGATCAAGAAGGAAATAGCTGGCAACAAGAATCAGGTGGCTAAGCAGGGTGATCTGTGGTTGTGCAGCGGGAAACTTTGCAGCCAAAACCAAAACCACAATGTATTTGTACTGAAGTGACCCAAATTGTTCTCGTGCCTAAACATGATCAATTAGGGAATTTCATTAAACCTCAATACGGAAACTTGGGTTTAAAACTGCAGAGACATCAGCCATATGACTGAATGTAACTGGAAACTGGTGATAATGTAGAAAACACCAATAAAATGTGTCTGTGTCTCATTTTTCTATCACAGCTCCCCTGGTCGGTTACATCTTTTAGCATTTTTATACATGAACATCCACCTTGAAACATTAGACTGCATTACCCATACTGGTTAAAGTTAAAACGTCTCATCGAGTCTTTGGATGAAACCGGGTTGTTGGATGGTAAAAATTCTGTTGTTGGAGGATTCAGAAGTGTCAGAGAACTCTCTGTAGAGAGCTGCAGCTCCTCTCACAGCCTAAAGATAGATTTGCTGAATAAACGATTGTATCATCAGCATAGTGATTAATATTGGCTGGATTTACTGTTTGCACTTGATTAGGAAGTAAGATATTGAGGCTAAAATGACATCTCAACCTTTCTGATTTTATCTGAGCGCAAGTAGGTGGTTATGATAATAGTTTAATCACAGCTGGAAATAAAAAAAGGTTTAGCGTTCTTTACTTGATTTTTCCAAACTGCAGCTCAGAAAATATAAAAACAAACTCCCATTCTTTCTGGAATTTCATTTTCCCAATACGTTTTGTGTGATGGAGCAGAATGTTTCTAATTGACTCGTTTCCACATGATGATCAGTTATACGGTCCAAATCACAACAATCTGACCCCCATCAACCTTCATCAGCTGTTTTTTTTTCTGCCTGTTTGATCAGGTCTACTGGTTCTGACTCATTGTCTTAAAGGGGAACGCCGTTTTTTTTTAAAGTGGACCCTTGATTTTACGTTATTACATCATGTTCTACTCACCCATATGAGTTTTGTGTCATTTGGAGCTGTTCTGAAGATTTTCAGTTTTGTAATATCTAAGAAAAATTATCACACGACTGGAAAACTGTCCCGAAAAGGGCAAAAAATCCTACAGTGTAAGCCCGGCTTTAATATGCTGTTAGATGCTTGGGTAATTGCCAGATAACACCAATACTCCTGAGGCCTTATCTTCTACCCTCTAGTGGTCAAGGAGTTTTTATCAAATCCTTTAAATCCTCCTTACTAAATAAAATTCAAACTGCACTATTCCCTCTGGCTTGTTGAGCTAATCATGTCAGTGAGCCATGACTCAAAATGTAAAAAAAGATGTTGGAACTTTTAAAACCGGGGTCTAGAAAGGGTGAAATGTTCAGTGGCAATCATATATCTGATTAATTTGCCATAAACAAAGCAGGTTGAAGTGTTAAAAACAAAACAAAAAAAAAGAAGACACAATGGAAACCAGGAAGAACAAGGAATTTTCATTATGGTCCTGGTATCAATTTAGGAAAACCAAAGATTTGCATTTGGCTGATAAACCAGTTCATGTTCCCACGAATCAACATTAGGGAGAGCCAACTGGGAAAATTACAGACCTCTCCTCATGAAAACTTCAGGACCAAATGTTTTAGATTACATCAGAATATCACTGATTCTTTACTTTTAAGCTAGACTAAACACTTTTCGGAGCAGAGCTGGAATAGTTCAACATATCAATTCAATTCATCTTATTTATATAGCATCAATTCACAACACATGTCATCTCAAGGCCCTTTACAGCTCACCAGATCATGCAGTCAATGTGATTAAAAGTTTTCTATCTAAGGAAAACAAGTTTATTGCATTGATTCATTGACCCGAAAGCAATTCCTCAGTGTAAATATCAATAAAGTTCATTATTCTAAATCAGTTCTAAATCAGACATTTCGCTTGATTTTAGTCCATGTTCTGTTTATGGTTTTTGGGGGTTTTTGGTTTTTGTTTTTTTGTCACCAACCGGATTTCAGTCATTATTCACGATAAAGAAAAAAGAAATGAAACGCTCTAGAATCAGCCTGAGGACGTGCCTAAACGCACTAGATTTATCAGTCAGGATCAGGGGAGCGTTTGCAGCAAATTCTCAGAACTGTGACATCTCTGCTGCTTTATGGTCATCTTTTAATTTTAGGCTCAGCCTTCCTAGACTTTGCTACAAGGTTTATGTCTGGATCTGCTTTGAATATCCTCACCTGTTGCGTTATTTATTCCATGCATCTTTTAACAGCTGATCTTTCATGCTGCAGCTTTACTGTCGCATTATTTGCATTCATGTTATATTTTCGCACCCTGACAGACCAATCCAGGATGTTTCCTGCTAAAGGCATCAGCCCCAGCCGTCACCCTGATGGATGAGTGATCAAAATGAATGGATGGATGTTTTATTGCAGGATGTCGCGCAAATAAAGCACTTTAGTAACAGATAACTATGGGACATCTCCCGCCTGCCGCTCAGTAAAGAGCATGATGCCGTGCGTCGTGGGTGCGCTCACCTGATGTAGAGCCAGCTGTGCAGCGCAGGACCACGCAGATGTTACCTGTTCCTTCAGTCTCAGTCCCTTTGGTGTAAAGTGAGTCACCTGAGCGGCAGATGAGAACTGCGATGGAGTTAAACCTCCTCTGTTTCTCTGTGACGATGCATCCTCTTCTAATTTGGCCCTCCCTCCCTGCCAACTCATCGCGCTGCAAACAGTTTTAGTGGCAGATCTGCACACACCTCCTCCCCCCACCCCCCAGCCCAACCATACAGAATAAAAATAAAGATAAAAATATTCTCTATTAATTCCAAAGAGAAATTAAATAAACGTTACAGATCTCATCTAGTTTGATCTCTATGGAAGAGGATTAGGGCCACTGGAAAAAATTAATAAAAGTTAATTGATTTTTACACTTTATTTCAGTATAATGTGAGAAAAAAGTCAGAATTCTGACTTTAATCTTAGAATTCTGAAATTTTTCTAAGAATTTTGACTTAAATCTTAGAATTCTGACTTTTTTCTAAGAATTCTGACTTTAATCTCAGAATTCTAACTTTTTTTCTCAAAATTCCAACTTTAATCTCAGAAATCTGACTTTAATCTCAGAATTCTATCTTTTTTTTCTCAAAATTCTGACTGTAATCTCAGAATTCTGACTGAATTCTGACAGCTAAGAAACATGTTAGCATCAAGCCCTAGCCATGTCTGTTTTAGAGACTACAGTAGCTCTCTTGTCTTAGTCACCTCCTGCTCGTCCATTAAAGAAATAGAATAACGGGGACCCCTCTGGCACGTAAAAAGTCACCTTATGCCGTCATTTTCCACCAATCTGTTACTGGCCCTTTCAAACAACTCACATCTTTGTCAGTGAAGCTAAATGTGCTCCCACATCTCTCCCTTCATGGTACCCATCTACATTACAGTAAGATCCAAATTTCTGAGATTAAAGTCAGAATTCTGAGATTAGAGTCAGAATTCTGACTTTTCTCCCATATTAAACAGAAATATTTAAAAATCAGTTAACTTTTTTAATTTTTTCAGTAGCCCTAATCCTCTTCCAGATGGCTCTGTGAAACATAAACTGAAGTATTTACAAAAAGCATTTTTTTAAGCGATACAGTGAAAAAATAATACAACCTTTTATGGCATTTACTTAATCATATTTAGTTACTTTGACATTATCGTTTCATGTTAGCAGGGTAGGACATCAAACAGTTCTGTTAAAGTAACTAAATATGATTAAGTAAACGCCAAAAGCGGTTTGATTAACTGTGTTTAAGCTGGAACTATATCTTATCAAGAAAAATTAACCTGTTGCTCTAAATGCGTTCTAATAACAGGAGAGATCTTAGAAAGCAGCTCATCGTGTTGGGATTTTACGGCATCTAACAGTCTGGAGGGGTTTCAGAAACATAAAGAAACTGACATGAGAAGAACCATTTAGTACCAGTTGACAAACTATGGAGCAATGGAGAGGACAACCAACCAACATTACCCCAAGAGCTGCTCAACAATTCATTCAGGAGGAGACCCAGAAGCTGCAAACGCCTCCCTACATGCGTTTCCATTCCAGATTGCGCATATTGTATTTATGAAAATAAATTTGCTAAATGGAAAGACTGCAATTAAAAAAAAACTCTATAACTTTCAATAAAAACATTTTATTCTTCAGTGCGGTGTCACGTGATCTGCAACTATTTAATGCCTTGTAAAAAGACAATGAAGACCGGACCTAGTTGGAGGATGATGTGCATAGGTGGATTAATGACCGGGCCTACCGGGCCCAGGCCCAGGGGGCCAGAGGCCCCAAGGGGCCAGGCCAACTTGGCCCCGCGGCCGCGACCCAAGCAAAACTACTTTTGCAAAAATAATATTCTTAGGCCCCAAGGGGCCAGGCCAACTTGGCCCCGCGGCCACGATCCATAGAGGGTAAGAGGCCCCAAGGGGCCAGTTCAACTCGGCCCCGCGGCCACGACCCACAGAGGGCCTGAGGTCCTAAGGGGTCAGGCTAACTTGGCCCCGCGGCCATGATCCATAGAGGGTAAGAGGCCCCAAGGGGTCAGGCCAACATGGCCCCGCGGCCATGATCCATAGACGGTCAGAGGCCCCAAGGGGCCAGGTCAACTTGGCCCCGCGGCCACGACCCACAGAGGGCCTGAGGTCCTAAGGGGTCAGGCCAACTTGGCCCCGCGGCCATGATCCATAGAGGGTAAGAGGCCCCAAGGGGTCAGGCCAACATGGCCCCGCGGCCATGATCCATAGACGGTCAGAGGCCCCAAGGGGCCAGGCCAACTTGGCCCCGCGGCCACGATCCATAGACGGTCAGAGGCCCCAAGGGGCCAGGTCAACTTGGCTCCACGGCCACGATCCATAGAGGGTCAGAGGCCCCAGGGGGCCAGGTCAACTTGGCCCCGCGGCCACGACCCACAGAAGGCCAGAGGCCCCAAAGGGCCAGGCCAACTTGGCCCCGCGGCCGCAAGCCACAGAAGGCCAGAGGCCCCAAGGGGCCAGGCCAACTTGGCCCCGCGGCCACGATCCATAGACGGTCAGAGGCCCCAAGGGGCCAGGTCAACTTGGCTCCACGGCCACGATCCATAGAGGGTCAGAGGCCCCAGGGGGCCAGGTCAACTTGGCCCCGCGGCCACGACCCACAGAAGGCCAGAGGCCCCAAAGGGCCAGGCCAACTTGGCCCCGCGGCCGCAAGCCACAGAAGGCCAGAGGCCCCAAGGGGCCAGGCCAACTTGGCTCCACGGCCACGATCCATAGAGGGTCAGAGGCCCCAGGGGGCCAGGTCAACTTGGCCCCGCGGCCACGACCCACAGAAGGCCAGAGGCCCCAAAGGGCCAGGCCAACTTGGCCCCGCGGCCGCAAGCCACAGAAGGCCAGAGGCCCCAAGGGGCCAGGTCAACTTGGCCCCGCGGCCACGACCCACAGAGGGCCTGAGGTCCTAAGGGGTCAGGCCAACTTGGCCCCGTGGCCATGATCCATAGAGTGTAAGAGGCCCCAAGGGGTCAGGCCAACATGGCCCCACGGCCATGATCCATAGACGGTCAGAGGCCCCAAGGGGCCAGGCCAACTTGGCCCCGCGGCCACGATCCATAGACGGTCTGAGGCCCCAAGGGGCCAGGCCAACTTGGCCCCGCGGCCACGATCCATAGAGGGTCAGAGGCCCCAGGGGGCCAGGTCAACTTGGCCCCGCAGCCACGACCCACAGAAGGCCAGAGGCCCCAAAGGGCCAGGCCAACTTGGCCCCGCGGCCACGATCCATAGAGGGTAAGAGGCCCCAAGGGGCAAAGTCAACTTGGCCCCGCGGCCGTGACCCACAGAGGCCCCAAGGGGCCAGGCAAAATTGGCCCCGCGGCCATGATCCACAGAGGGCCAGAGGCTCTCAATCATTATTATCAAAGCTAATTCTCAAATTGGATGGATCACACAACCTCACTCACATATTCTTTATCAATTATTAAAGGTTGTTTCTGAATTTTGATCACAGAACTTAATGCAAATATTCTTGATTGATTGACAAAGCTCATTCTCAAATTTTGATTACACAACCTTACTCTGACAAATTATCATTATCAAAAAGCTCTATCTCGAATTTGGATCACAGAATCTCACTCAAGTATTCTTAGCTGTGCCCCTCCCCCATCGAGTCTTTCATAAACCGGTCTGTTCTTTTAGAATCTCCTCATTTGGTATTTTGAACTCGTGAGACTGCTCAAAATTTGGTTTCCTTTCCCTCAGTTCAGACTCAGATAATTTGAAATCATTCAACAAGAAGTTTAACGCGCGCACACACACACACACATGCACTTGAGTTGAGCATTACTTGGAAATTCTTATATTTTCCATTTTGCTGTTACTATCAGCATCTTCCCATTTTGTCCTTTTCTTTCGAAAAAGTTTACAGTCTGACATTTGTCACTGCTGTCAGTTAATAACTTTTTGGTCTTTGACCCATTTTGTAATTTTCTCGATTCGATCGTCACTGACCACTCTCTCCTGTCTGGCAGACATCGTTGCTGCCATCATAGCTAGCAAGCTGCCTGCAGATAGCAACATTTTGGTGTCCTTTGTGAAAATATTTAGATAGAAGACAAAAGTGCACAAAGTTGTACAATTATTATCTTTTCAAAATATTTGTTTCACTGTCAGTGTGATTGACCGACTTTGCCGCTAGATTTCGTGTCTTTTGGCCATACCTGGCTAGCGACTAAAAACATCATTTAGCGACTTTTTGGTTGTGAAGATAAGTGGTAAAAGCAGATCTGCCTGTTGGTCTTCCCACATTTTGCCATTTGGTACTTTGCACTCTTGTTGGTCACTCCAAGGCATTTGTCCCTGCCTTCAGCTAGTCACTTGGCTCTTTTGGAATATATTTCACTGTAATTGGCTCTCTCTCTCTTTCTCCTCAGTACAAATCAGTCTGTTCCCTTGCCATTTAGACATTTTCTTGATTCGATCATCACTGACCACTCTGCTCTCCTGCTGTCTATCAGACGAATCAGTTGATTCTCTGCTCTCAATTGTCTATGCTAGTAAGCTGTTATTCTCTGCTTTGGAGTGTTGATGCTGGGTTGCTAGTTTTCTAAATCACCTCACACACTTGAAGGAAGCAGCACCGATCATAAACACACAAACAAACTCAAACACACACACACACACACACACATAGTTGGTTTATCTGTTGTGATAGACAAAGAGCCAATGTGCAAAGAAAGAAGGGAAATATGGATCATAAACGTTTAAGTGGAGGAGCTAGAAAAAAAATTCAGCAAGAAAAGAAAAAAAAGGAATCAGTTTTACTTGAGAGTGTTCCAAATATCTCCAGCTTCTTCAGTACAAAGACATCTGCTGAAAGCAATTCTATAAATGCTACTGCAAATTCAGCTAAGGTTAGCAATGCACCTGAGCTAGCATGTAGCTCCCAAGATCCTGAGACCACTACAAGTGTAGACACTGAACCAAATGCTTTTGATGCTTATGATTCAACCAATTCAGCAGTAGCCATTTGCTCGGATGAATGTGAGGTCACTGCACCTCTGGACAGCATAGAAAATGAGCTGAATCTTTCTTCTACACCATCTACAGTGACAACTCTACCTAGTGATCCCGCTAAATGGGC